AAGATTGTAGGTAGTGCAAGAATCTGTGGGCTCACTAGCGCCCGCTGCCTTGAGGCAGGGGTACTGTTTGCCTCACCGAGTAACTTTTTTACTGGGTTTTATGGTTAATCTGCGAGCCTAAACATGTTACAGAACTACATTTTATACATTATCCAGATTATGGCAAGGCAGAGCATATAATCAGAGTGTTTGAAAGCATTTTATTTGTGATATATAGAGGGACAGCGACACACTATTTGTGAGGCGACACAGTTTGTGAGGATTACACGATCCACCGAGAGGCACAGCAAAGTACTGCCTCATCGCGCATCTCCTCCATGTATTTGAACGGGACATACGGGAATTCTGCTATTCTTTATTGAAAAAAAATTCCTTCAACATCGGATTCGAACGGCAAAAGGGCCTACAACACACACCAGCCGACAAATATTAACATTTATTATATTTTATGGTTAACTTTTTTTTTTCTTTTCAAGATTGACAGGGGAGGCTCTGCCTCACCTGCCTCCCCTGACCGCACGTCACTGGCTCCCACTTCCTTGCTCCAGTTAAATGATGAGCTGCAACATTTTGGACAAGCTGCAAGGAGCCAATGAAACCTGGCCAACACCAACGTATAGGGCAATACCATAATCAAAGCAACTAGAAATAAAAGCATGTATAACACTTTCAAAATCTTTTTTGTTACAAAGGGCTTGACCCTAGATGAGAGTCGCAGCTGATGGAAAATGGACTTAACCACTGAGTTAATCTGTTTATCATAATAGACACAGGCACCGCTGGGTTGGAATAATACGACCTCAGTCTTTTTTTCATTAAAATGTAAAATATATGAAGCCATCCATGCTTTTATTTCATGCATGCAATCCAACAAAAGTGATAAAAATATAAACTGACCTGGTTCAGTGAGACAATAGGAAGCAAATGTTTTCATTGAGCAGAGATCAGGACAGAACTTCTCCCTGTTCTCCTTACTGCCAAAGGTGTCTATCATCCAGGCACACATGCTGCATGAAGAAAACACATATCAATATAGTGCCTGTATAGTAGACATACAGTAACACAATTCATTTATTGCTTTCACCAGGCCAAAGAAGCACAGTACGTTATGTTTTACATGGGCAAAAATATCAAATTTGAGGAAAATCGTGTTTCAGTACAAATGAAAGACCAAACATCACTGATTTTTTTATATGCCGTTTGGACGATTGCTGTATAGGTATTCTAAGAACCTCACAAAATGATGCTGTAACTAACCCTTTCAGTCACAAAACCGGCCACTGCTCTGGTCATACCTGGTTACTCAGGCCATGCCATGACTTTCATAATAAGATGTAAAGTATGCAATCAGCCACCAGTCTCTTTTTATCCAAGATGCCAAACCTCTCAACTTGTAAACATCCAAACAATAAATCTTTCACATTTTCCTCACATTTGCTGCTGACTCGTCATTACTGTGGTATGAGGGGTTCGTACTTGTGGATACTGATGTAGGCTGTGGTGCTGACACATCCTGTGGACAAGGCCTCAAAGATGACTGATGTGTCCAGGCGAGAAAGGCCTGATCCTCCAACATCTGGCTGAACATAGATACCACCAAACCCCAGCTGAGCTGCTTTCCGCATTGTCTCCACTGGAAAGATTTCCTGGCAAAAAATTAACAATTATTATAGTTCAACAGATACTGGATTTATGACGGAGATACAGATACTGATATTTTAGAGCTGAAAACAATGTGATGAAAATATGTCCACCAATAGTAATTTTTCCTTAACATAAAAACATACAGTTCTACAGAGGAATCATCAAATCTGTTCTCTGCACCTCCATCACCGTCTGGTTTGGCTCAGCAACCAAACAGGACAAGTACAGACTCCAACGGACTGTCAGGACTGCAGAAAAGATCATTGGTACAAGCCTGTACACCTCACAGGTCAAAGGGAGGGCAGAGAAGATTTCTCCAGACCCCTCACACCCTGGACACAATCTGTCTGAACACCTCCCCTCTGGATGGCGTTACAGGTCACTGTGCACCAAGACAACCAGGCACAGGGACAGTTTCTTCCCCCAGGCCATCACTCTGGTGAACACTTAACCCACAACAGTATGACCGGACAATAACCCTCAGTGCAATACCTGTAAATATAGCTTGTACATATCGATGTGTGTTTTTACTCCTAAAGCACATTCCTTTGCTTGATTGCACATTACTTCCTTACTTCTGTTCTCAGCCTTATATTGTTTACTTGCCCACTGCTGCCTTACATAAGGACATGTACATACGCATTGAGAGCCACTGTACCAGAATCAAATTCCTCGTGTGTCCAACACACCTGGCCAATAAAGCTGATTGGGAGAATTGTGAAAGGGAAATTTTACACTGGATCAACCCACTTGTCACCGCTGTCTTGTGTAAGGGAGATACACTACATTGCCAAAAGTATTCGCTCGTCTGCCTTCACATGCAAATGAACTTGAGTA